CCCACCCTGTGGACTTCCCCGTAAGAGCAACCTCTCTTCGTCATTCAGTCCAGCCTCTTTGCCTCAGAAAAGGACTCAGCCTCTTCTCAAAACATTCCTCAGAGATGTCTGGGGCTGAGTCCTGAAATCAAGTTGTCTTTGAAGGGCCAAGATATTGCTCCGTCTGGACCTTACTTTCATGTGGGTTCGTTAGATTCTTCCAGAATAAAGGAAATATGTTATGTGTTTTAAAAATGTATTATTGATGTGTACCATAAAAATGTAGTAAGCACACAGATCACCAATATAGAACACCCCATTAAGGTGTAGAGTATTTCCAGGACTCTAGAAGATTCCCTTGTACCGGCTTCCAGTCAGTCCCTCCCCGCAAGTAGCTGCTATTCTGACTTTTCGCACAGTAGATTATTTTCAACTACTCTTGTTCGACCTAGAGATAGAATCGTACAGTCTACACTTAGGCTTTTTTTCTTCTCAATTTATTGTCTGTGAGATTCACCCATGTTGCTGCACGTATCAGTAGCTTGTTCTTTTTGATTGCTAAGTAGTACTCCATGGATGGATGTACCACAACACATGAATCCATCATACTGTTCATGGGCATTTGGGTCATTTCCAGTTTGGGGCTCTCATGAACATTCACACAAAGTATTTGTATGGCCACACATACTCATTTTTCTGGGATATATGCCTAGGAGTGGAATTTCTGGATCATAGGTAAGCATATTTTTAGCTTTAGTAGACAACTGCCAAAGAGTTTTCTAAAGTGATTGTACCAACTGACACTTCCACTAGCAATGTATGAAAGTTCCAGTTCTGCCACATCCTCATCAACCCTCTTTAATTTTAGCCATTCCAGTGGGTATACAGTGGTATCTCATTGGGCTTTAGTTTGCTTTCTCCTGATGATTAATGATACATATACCTTCTCATGTGGTTATGGGTCATTTGAATAATGTGTGTGCGTGTGTGTGTGTGTGTGTGTGTGTGTGTGTGTGTGTGTGTGTGATGTATTGTCTGTCCAAGTCTTTTGCCACTGCATATTTAGCTAATTGTTTTTTCTTATTGGTTTACATGAATTCTTTATGTGTACTGAACATGAACTTTGTCAGGTGTATGTATTGCAAACACATTTTCCTACTTTGTGGCTTCATTTCTTAATTTCATGCTCTTAAGGGTGTCTCTTGATGAATAGAACTTACTAATGCTAATGAACTCTAAGTTATCCATCTTTTATGATGAAGGGTTTTTATAGCCCCTGTTAGAAGTCCTTAAGAAGCCTAAGTTTAGGACTGGCAAGGGTCATGTCCATCCACTTGCTTTCAGTCCTCCCTCTGGGGTAGGAGTCAGTCGGTTATTTACTCACCCAGCCATCTGTCCAGCAATTTACCCGCCCACCTATCCATCTACCCACTCACTCACCCATACTCTCCATCATCCACACCTCCATCCATCCATCCACCCGTTGATCTAGCCAATATGTATCGCCATCACCCTGAACTGAGTGATGACAAGTATTAAGAGACTGAGATGAAGAGTTAGTGAGATGAACAAGACCTCCAAGGAGCTTGTGATCTGATGGGGGAAGTGCAGAATACACAAAATCTTCGACAGATTTCTATCTATCCTCATGTTGTCCAGAAGTCTCTAGCTTTCATTCATTACTATCTGAAACCTCCATTCATTTATTCTTGTTCTGTGACACTTCTACCAATATGTGCAGATAGTCTGATTCCCAAGGGTCTGAACTGCACATAAAAAAGGACGATTCTCACCTCCCTTGTTTTACATACTTGGCCTTTATTGATGTGGCCTGAGATGGCTGGCAGCCCGGCCCACCGTTGGCAGGGCAGGACCAGTCGTATTCAGAGAAGATTCCCCCAGTGGAAGAAAGAAAGAAAGAAGCCCAGTGGAGGACCACCTTTCGCAGGATTGACTGACCTGTGGTAAGTGTTTGAAGCCTGGCCCTGTGGGACTGGCAGATGGCCTAGTCTGATAGCAGAGAGGCGGGCAGTGGGCTGGAGCAGGAATTTCAGCAGGCTGGCAGAGCAGGTGGAGAGGGATACAGGGTGAGGGGAGCGGGTGGGGACACAAGCTAGCATGTGAGAGGCTGAAAATGGGGCGGACTCTGGCACTTTGCAGCTGGGTCTCAGATCAAGCTGGGGCCTGGGGGCTTAAGGTGGGGCCGGGGGCCAGTGGTGGGGAGGGCAGAGGGCCTGTACCACTCTAGGGAGGCCCCATGTGGACGTTAGCCCCTGATTGGCAAACATGCCCCTGCTCTCCAGCCTTAGCTGTTGCCAGTCCTTACCTTGACCTCTTCCTAGGGACAGTGGCTCAAAGCCAACAAAAACAGCAAAGGTCCCACCAGCTCTATCTCCAACACGGCCAGGCCCAGGTCCCTCTGAGATCTGACTGCCCAGAACTTCCTGGCAAGCCTGGCTGTGGTCCTGCCTAGGCAGCACCTGCCCTCCCAAGGACACTGGCCCTTTGTGGGCAGAGACGGCTTGTGGGGACAGCCTTGAGGAGGGGTTGAGCTGAGTGGGCCTGGCTGGCGCCAGGCGGGACCGGGAACCTCAGCAAACAAGGCCTCCTACACAGTGACCAGGGGTGGGGGCAGTTCAGGGCACTGAGCAGAATCCAACCACAGTGCCCGATGGGAGTGGAGTCAGGGTAAGGACCGGAGAGGATGAGCAGGGCCCTCACAACCCTGACACACAGATTCCTCCCTCTCCCCTTCCCACCTCTGTCCCCTGAGCTTGGTCCCTTGCACAGTGACCCTGCCAACCCTGGTTGGGGACCACACCCACTACTGCCAGTGGTGACTGGATCCACCTTCAGGTCCCTCCACAAGACCTGACAGTGGTCTCTTTGCTCACTCTTCTCCCAGAGCCTAGGGGTGGCAAAGACCCCCTGGCCTGAAGTCAGCCCCTCATGGGCCCGTATCCAAGCTGACTGAGAGGCAGGTCCAGGCCTAAAAGAGGATCCTTTCTGAGCTTCCTCTGTGGTAGGCACTTCACTAAGTGCTTCATCTGTAGCGTCTCATGGGACCCCACAGCAATCTTTAGAGGAGGTGCTGACACTAGCAACGTAAAGTGACTTCCCCCAGGTTGCCTGGGATGTCAGTGGGGAGCCCAGGTGTGAGCTCAGGCTGCCTGACCCCACAGTCCATGTCCCTAGATGATCAGTGCAGCAGTGGAGAGGGGAGAAGAGGAAAGGGAGGAATCTGCTTCCCATCCTGAAGGAGATGAGGGAGGACCCCTGGAATTTCACAAGGATGTGTTTTAGAGCCATCGCTCCAGACACAGAGTTTGGGCAGGGGGCTGAACCTGGAGTTAGAGAGAAGGCTGTCTTGATAGTCCAGGCGGCAGCCATGGGGACACCCCTGTGGCCTCCAGGGAAGAATTTCCTGCTTAGTTGCAAGGAATGCAGCGCCTCCCAGAGCCACCTCAGCTGTCAAGAAGAGGTCTTCTGGCAGTCCCAGCAAACACTGAGTGCTGCAAGTCTGACTAATTGAGCCCAGCAGGGATGCCTCTGACAGTCACCTGTGGAGTTCCCACCAGGTTGGCCCAGACTAGGGCACATTTGTGTCACAGTCTGAGGCTGTCCCTGCCCAGCCCTGCTTCCCCCCTTCGCCTTCCTCTTGCAAACCTCACGGGCACCCGGCTCCGTCTCAGCCTATGCTCCCTGGAAGACCAGAGGGCAGAATCTCAGCTCCAGCAAGAACCACAGTGGCAGAAGCAGGGAGAGAAGCAGATTGGAAGGAAGCTTCACCTCAGTGCTACCGCCCACTAACCTCAGCGACCTCACTCAACCTCTGTGTGCCTCGGTTTCTTCATCCATAAAATGGAACCAATGCTCTCTGGAGCTAATAATCTCTCCCTTGTGGGATTAGTATGGGGACTCAATGACTGAATGAATGTGAAGCGCTCAGCATGGTGCTCGGATTAATTAATGTACATGATTATTAAGAGATTCAGCTGGACTTGTCAGGAATAGTTCGATGTGTTTCTCTTGGCTTTACTGTACACTTCTCAAGGACAGGGACTGAGTCGATCTTGCTCACCAACATATACACAAATCTAGCCCAAAGCCTGACACATCGTGGGTGCTGTGTAAAGGTTTGTTAAAGGAATAAATGGATGGGAGTAAATCACATGGGACACGCCAACTGAAGGTGACACTGTTTTTGTAGCTGAGGTGCCTGGGAGGAGGTGGGGCAGGGAGGGATAAGGAGTTTCCACAGGGTCACAGTGTTTGAGGATACTGTGGATACGGCACACGGACAGGGCCCAGGCCCATGGAGGTGCCCAACTAGGGTTCCTGTCAGCCCCCATCAGGAGTTCTGGTTATCTCTAGCTGTATAACAAGCCATTCAAACCTACTAGGGTAAACCGACAGCAACCATTTATTCTTATCCTCTCTCATGGTTTTTAGGGCTGACTGGGCTCAGCTGGGCAAGTCTTACTCGGGCCCTCCAGTGGTTGCAGTCAGACAGTTGCTTGGGCTGAAGTCATATCCAGGCATCCTCCCTCCGGTGTCTGGCAGGGGGGACCTCAGCAGGACTGTCAGCTGAAACACCTGCTGTGGCCTCTCCACGTGACCTGGGCTTCCTCACAGCATGGGAGCTGGGTATCAAGAACGAGAGGCCAAGAGCAAGAGTCAGGCGGAAGCTATGTTGCTTTCACACCAGAAGGCACTCAGCCTTACCTCTGCCACATTCTACTGGTTAGAAGTGAGTCACTGAGGCCAGTGCATAATCAAGGGAAGAGGAATAAGATACCACCCCTTATTGTTGGGAACACAGAAGAAATTGGAGACATGCTTTAAAATCACCACACCAGGGAACCACCGGAGGCCCACCCCTCAGACTCTAAAATGAGTCCTGCTTCTAACAGGGTTGATTTAGTAGGCCAAGTGACAGTTTGCCTAGCCAGAGAACTCAGCATGTGTGGCAAGTAGTTGAGTCTTAATAGTAGCTACCTGATGAAAAAGTGAGCGAAGGCATGGGTAAGGGAGAGAGGGAGAGAGAATGACTAGGGCCTGTCCAGGTTGGGACCCAGCCTGGCTGCCCTCATAAGCGGCTCTCATGTTTGGACCTCGCCTGGTCCCCCAGCATTCTGTGTCCTGACTCTGCTCTACCTTAAAGCTGGTCTAATCATACTCTTTCTGGAATTTTTCCCTGGCCCAGCCCCAGTTTGGGGTCCTGCTGTTGAAACACTGTTTGGATGACCACTGCCTGCCAGTGGTACCTCCAATCAAGCCTTCCCAAGACCCTCCCTCTGACCGACCAGGACCTCTGCCCCTGCAGGACTTCTCAGTGTCAGCCTATGGTTTAGACCCTCACATAACTACCATCCCCAGATGTTTGGCTTCTCTGGAATGCCTCCTTTGCTGCCCATCACAAAGCTCTTCCCAGACTACCCCGCCCCTGCCCGGAAGAGTTGGGAGTCCCAAGCCCAGAGACGTACTGGGATTGGGTGAGAGAGCAGGAAAGAGACAGGACAAGGAGAAAGGCCACACCAAAGTGTTGGGTGGGGAGGAAGGACTGAAAAGAAGAGAAGGGATGGTCAGAGGAGTCAGTGGGAGATCAGGAGGTACGGTCCAAGGAGAGCCTAGTGCCCACCACCCCGAGGGGCCACGAGGGAGGAGGACTGAGCAGGGCAAGGAAGCTGGAAGCAGAGAGAGGGAGCTGAGGAGTGAGGGGCAGTGAGGACGCAGAAAAGGTGAGTGCTGATAACTCAATGTCCTCCTAGAGTCTGCCCACAGACTGTGCTGCCTGGGAACCTTGAACTTTCAAAGGCAAAGGGCCCAGGAGGCATTTCTAGCTGGTAACATCATGGCCCAGAACCATCCTGGCTGGGTGGGTGTTTCTCCAGAACAGGCACCAAGAAAAGCCAGATTTCTAATAAGAGCCTCAGGCTTCAGTCAGAAAATTGTGCAAGTTCTCCAAGTCCCGAGAGGCTTCCTCACCACGCCCCTCATCATTTGATAGAGTCTTGGATGCCCTGAAAATTTCCAGGTTAGAAGCCCTCTGTTTGTCCAAGTGAGTGCCAAGACCTGCCACGCACAACAGGGGTAGAAAGAGAATGAGAGCCAGTGCTTAAAGAAATCTCCAGGTAATAATAGTGATGGAAACAAGGGTAGTATAGCTACTGTTCACTGAGCACTTCATGCAACAGAGTGTCTTATGGACATTACCTGATGCTGAAAGCAGATCTCTAGATGCATGCTATACCTAAGTTTACATATGTGAAATTAATGCCAGGAATTGAGTCCCCAGCTGGAGTCTTACCGAATTAATAGGCCTGGCCTCCTCGCAGGGGGCAGGGGAGTTTCCTGGGTGAGTACCTGGCGCCAGCTTGGTCCAGTGACAAATTTGTCAGGACAATTTGGATAGCTCCCCATTCCTGCCTCTCCTGGATTCACGACCAAGTCCTGTAGGGAGCTGGGAGGTTGCAAGTACAAAGAAAAGAAAAGAAAGAACCGTTTCACTAAAACCTTAGTGAGATGTTGAGGCCCAAGTAGCCCTGCTGTGAGGCCCTCTCATGGGTTGACTTGTGCCCTCCAAAAATCATATGCTGAGATCCTAACCTCTAGTACCTCAAAATACAGTCTCATTTGGAAATAGGGCCATTGCTGTTGTAATTAGTTAAGACAATGTCATCAGGGTGAGTGCCAGTTCAATATGACTGGTATCCCTATAGCAATGAGAAACTTGGACACAGAGACAGGCACAGGAAAAGCTGACATGAAGAGACACAGGGAGAAAGTGGCTGTCCACAAGCTGAGGAGAGAGGCCTGGAAGAAGCCCTTCCCCTACAGCCCTCAGGAGGAGCCAACCCTGTTAGCACCTTCATTCTTCTGGCCTCCCAAACTGTGAGATGATACCTTTCTATCATATAAGCCTATTTGTGGTGTGTGTTTTGGCAATTACAGCAGCTCCAGCAGGCCAATATGTGACCCCCCCCCAAAAGTGAGAGGGACGGCTTTCTAGACATTTGTTTGGGGCCCTTGTATACCCTGGGGTCCAGCAGAGCAGGGACAGCCCTCAGCCGGAGCAGACCAGCTTGGGGTGCATGTGAAACACACCCTTAGGTTTCACTACAGGGAAAGTTTACCATCCCTGGGTCAGCAGGCAGAGTGAAGTTTTAATAATACTGACTCCTAGTTGTGAGGGCTGAGTAAACATTCAACTATAAAAGCACAACGCCACCATCACAGTTCAGAGGTGGCGGAGGCCACATCTGGCTGGCAGTGGGTCCACGAGATAAAAACCCAATGGTGGGGAGGAGGAACTGAGTTTGGGTGTCAGATGGACTTCTCCAGGAAGCAGACACCAGGACGGGATTAAACGTGAAAGAAATGTATTCAGGGAAATAACTGGGAAAAGAGGTGGGGAAATACCTGGGAAAAGAAGGAGACTGGGAGAGCTCTCAGACTGGGTGTCAAGTTTGACCTTAAGTGATAGAGAGAGGAAAGGAAAGAGGAGGGAAGAAAGGCGGGAGAAAGTCTGGTTGGGTAGAAGCCTCCTCCCTTTGGGGAATCCTCAAGCAAAATTGGTTGTCAAAGGTGCTCATGTCTTTCAGGAAAGGGTGCCTTAGCACTTTCCTGGGAAGGCACCCTTTCCTGGGAGGTGTTACCACTTTAAGTGGCTTTTATGAGCCATTTTTATATTCAAGATATACATATATGTAATTCTACCTTTTTTTTTTTTTTTTTTTTAGAAAAAAAGGTTATACATAGATCACAGATATATTCCCTGGTGGGTTTAATGGCTCAGAGGTAATTGCCTGGAAGATGAATTACAGAGTGGGCAGCCAGGGCTGCTCCTTGTAGGCAGAGATGGGTCTCATGGCTGCCACACTGGGGCAGTCAGGAAGGGAGCCTTGGGCCAGGGAGAGGACCACAAAAAAGCACAGGGTATTCTGGGAGTAAATGATGGACCAATGCACAAGGCTGATGGTGCCAAATGATACCCCATCCCTCTCATGAGCATTGCTTTGCGTTCCACTGAAATTTAGCATTCTTTTTCTTATGATTATTGGCCATTCATGACTTGCCTTTTGTAAACTGTCTGATCCTCTCCTCCATGTGTTTTCTATTGAGACGTTACCACTTTACGTGACTTTCATGAACCATTTTTATATTCAAGACAGACATATATGTAATTTGACCATTTTTTTTAGAACAAAAAGTTATACATAACTCACAAATATATTCCCTGGTGGGTTGAAAGCCATTTTAATGATGTAGTGAATATGAAAACAAGTGTGCAAGAAACAGAACTAAATGTACTTTTCTACAACTGAACTTAATTCCTTTTTTCAAGCTCCCATTTTGCCCAAATGGTGGAAACAACCCTTATTCTGTCCCTTCCCCGAGCATTGCCTCGAAGTTCCTGGGGACTCAAGGAGTTCCAAGATGGCAGAATTGGGGGCATCTGTCAGAGCTGTCCTCGTTGGTCCGTCTGGTGTCTATTGATGTCCTCATTTCCATCAAGCTCTTGCCAATTTACACGGTTCCTTAATGTTATTTCCTCGTCCAACCACAAGGCTTCCAGGTCTTTAGGTTTCTGGGTCACTCTGTGCCCTCTTGGGAACTCCTCTTAGGAAATCTGTGCACCGCACCCTCTCTCTCACACCATGGCTGGGGAACTGCACCGCCACTTACCCTGAAAAAGCATCTTCTGTGGCCTCTGTGCTTGGAATTCTCGCACATCTTCAGCCATGGGGAGTTTACTGCATCAAAGTATCACTCTGCAATATTGCAGATTGAGAAAAAGCCTTCATCTAAATAAGCCCTACGCTGGGCACAGTGGCTCAAGCCTGTAATCCCAACCCCTTTAAGAGGCCAAGATGGGAGGATCACTTGAGGCCAGGAGTTCGAGACCAGCCTGGGCAACATAGCAAGACCCTGTCTCCATTTTTTAAATAAATAAATAATTAACCCCAAACCTGGCTCCCACTGGTCCTGGCCAGGCCTCCAGAGCCCCGCTGTGGCCTCAGCCCCAGAGCAGCCCTCCTCTCTCTGCAGATGGCGTCACATCAACCCCACTGAAATTCTCTAGTGACCAGACTTAGTTACAGTTGCTCTGCCCACCCTTGACTCAGCCGGTCCCCTGCTCCCCTTTCCCCGGATCTTCTGCTGAATTTGGCCTGTCCCTGTGGAGGTGAGGCTGCTGCTGTGATTTTCCGATGTGGTTGGACTAGCCCAGCCCCGGGCCTGTGATCTGGACCCTCTGTCTCAGAAACACAGCTCATGAGTCGATCCACTGTTTGAGCCTCTGCTCATCTAAAATCTGAGATTTTTTTTTTTTTTTTGAGTTGGAGTCTCACTCAGTCGCCCAGACTGGAGTGCAGTGGCCGCTCCCGGCCACCGCAGCCTCGACCTGCTGGGCTCCGGCGATCCTTCCGCCTCAGCCTAACAAGTAGCCGGAATTACAGGCATGCGCTGCCACGCCCAGCTGATTTTTGATTTATTGAAGAGATGAGGTCTCGCTGCCCAGGCGGGTTTCGAACACACGGGCTCAGGCAATCCACTCACCTCAGCCTCCCAAAGGCGCGGGATTACAGGCTGAGCCACCGAGCCCGGCTAAAATCTGAGATCTTTGTCACATAAATTGAGGCCACTCTCCACCTGACCTTCTGACCTTTGGTATTAAAATTCAATGACAGTAGAGATACATTATAGGCAGGAGCCAAGTTCTGGGATTAGGCAGAGCAGTGCCAAATACAGGTGGCTTGGCCACTCACTAGATGTGAGGGAAGGACCGTGGAACCTTGAATGGCTTATGTGACTGTCATCCACTTTGGAGTCTCATTTATAAAGAGCAGTTAAGCTAGTCGTAGTGGCTCATGTCTATAATCCTAGCACTTTGGGAGGCCAGGGCAGGAAGGATCAATTGAGCCCAGGAGTTCGAGACTTGCTGGGGTAACATACTGAGACCTCATCTCTACAAAAAATACAAAAATTAGCTAGGTGTAGTGGTGCACGACTGTAGTCCCAGCTACTTGGAAAGCTGAGGTGGAAGGATCGCCTGAGCCCAGTAGTTCAAGGCTGTGGTGAACTGTCTTTGTGTCACTGCACTCCAGCCTTGGTGACAGAGTGATATCCTGACTAAAAAAAAAAAAAAAAGTTAGTACGAGTTCCTGTTCTCGAGGGCCATGCAGGGATTAGGAAATATCGTGATAAATCCTTACCATATGCAGTTTATTAAAAGTAGTAAGGGGTAGCTATTCTTATTGCTATCAAGCATCTAACTGTAGCGTTTATTTCAATTAGAGGGAAAGACAAACTCTTGTCATCAAGGGTGGGCAATATTGCTTAGAAGGCAGACAATATTGATCACAAGATAAGCATCATTGACTGGAAGGGGATTTATTATTTTCTTTTTTTTTTTTTTGAGTTGGAGTCTCACTCTGTCGGTCAGGCTGGAGTGCTGTGGCACGCTCACAGCCACCGCAGCCTCAACCTGTGG